CTTTTTTTCTTTCTTTAAAAGGAAAGTAGGGAGGATAGAGAAAGAAACAAAAATGGAGCTTTTAAGTTAAACCAGACAGTAAGGGGCCCGGTAGGTACAGTTTGATCAGATATAGTCCTGAGAAAGTACCAAAAGCAAGGATGAGCAGGCAGTTGTTATACATCCCAACAAGCAAGAACTGCAATAGTACAGGGATAAGGGGAAAAAAGGATAAGGGGCAGAATTCTGGGCAAGGATTTTTGAATTAAATGGGATTAAAATTTTAAGCCTGAAATATAAGCCACAGCTGGAATGTGAGCAGTAGGAAAATAAAAGGAAGCTAATGATTCTGTGGCAAGCTTGCGTTTTTTCAATCCTCAGAATAACCCTAATAATCACACACTGTTGTTACGGTTAACTCTACTTCACATTAAAAACAAACAAATGACCTGAGGCTCGGAAAGGTCTCTAATTTATTTAAGTTCTTAAGGTTAGTAGATGGTGGAGCCAAGATTCACATCCAGGTTATTCTGACTTAGAGCCACACACACTCTTTTAGAACTTGATTGTTAGAAAAAAGTTCTGAAATAGCTTCCACAATGACTTGGCCAATACAGTTGACGGTATTAATAGAATTTACTGAAAAAGACACAGTAGTAGGAAGAACATGTGCAAAAGCCAAAAGGTGAGAGAAAAACTTAGTCAGGACATGCAAGTAGTTTTAAGAGCTATGAAGTATGGTGGAGAACAAGGAGATGCCAATTCATGGACTCAGCCACATTAAGGTGTTGAGTTTTAATTTGAGGGCAAAGTGAGGGGAATGACATGGTCAAATCTGTATTTTATAAAAATTACTGTGGCTACAGCATGTACAATGGATCAGAGGGCAGTAGGGGTAGGTGTCGCAGTGATCTGGATGAAGTACAGTAGATGATCAAAACCAATGGTGAGAAGATCTAATTGACTAGACGGTGGGAGGTATGGTTCGGGGGTAGGGATGTGGTGCAGGGTGAGATAACCAAAGCTCATGCTCCAATCTCTGCCTTAGGAAGCAACCTATTCATACGTGATGCAGAGTATGTGAGGAATAATGAGTTATTCTGTACTTATACATGTGAAATCTGAAGTGCCTGTGGACTTCCAATGGAGAAGTCTATAGGTTTACAGCTCATGAGAATTAAAACTTGGCAGTCATCAACATATAAATGATACCTGAAGTCATAGGAATAGATAGGAAATAACAGGACGAAAAGAGGACTGGAGATGGGAACTAACAAAACAGGTATTTCAAGGTACAGAAGAAAGCAAAAGGAACCTACGCAGAAACACCTGAGAGCAAGGTTTCAGAGACGAGGGGATATCAGGAAAGTGTGGTGTCCTAAAAGCCCAGGGAAGGAATCACTGGTGTAACATACCACAGGGAGATCAAACAAAAGAGGGCATACGGATGTCCACATTGTTCAAGAGCAGTTTCACTGGTGTGATGGGACCCAGAAACAGTGGGTTGCACTCATAGTAGGTAAAGGAGCATACACAGCATATACAGCAAATGGAGGCAACTTTAAGACGCTCAACCTGCAAAAGCACACTCAGTGAGAGAGAAGGTGCTATAAAGAGACTGACAGACGTTTTGTTTTAAAAGACAAAAAAGGTTAGAATGTATGTAAACACTGCTGATGAGTCTGAGCAAGTTGAAAGAGGATGAAGATATCAGCTATAGAAAGGATCCATGAAAAGGGAATTCCCTGACATAGTGTGAGCATAGGTCAAGGACAGTTCCTACACACTTGGAAGGACATTTCTGAAGATCTTATTCCTAACCAACAGGTGCACTCAGCTATATACAAACTGCCTATATACAAACATACCACCACATGGATATTCCTAGAGGCATTTCAAATTCAACGTAACTCCCCAAAAAGAGAAAAAAATGAAAGTAGATGCAGGTAAGTTTTGGCACTGAGCTCGTAATTTGAAGTTTTCCACTTAATGTCTTTTTTCTCTATAAAGTAGAAATCGAGGTCATACCCTGAAACGGGCAAAATAGAATAGGCTATAGAGGAGAAGAGAAAGTAAGGGTTATAGGGCTAGTATTGGAAAAGAGTCCTTCCAATCCATAGCAACATACATGTGGAATGTATTATAACTGATATCCATAAACTCACCTGCTGCACTGCCTTGAACTCCATTTGTAATTTTAGTGGAGCAAACAGACCCTGGATGTTTCTTAGTGTGGAAAAATTCATTTTATCTTGGTTGAGCTGGAACTACAATGGCAAACAATGTAATTTTAAATGTTACACTTAACATTGTTTTCAAAACAGCACTGTTACATATGTAACACAACACTTAAAAGAATTTTAATATCCATAACTGAAATAAAAACAAAGTACTTTTATTAATTTCTTCGAATATATATGTCTATGTTTTATTCAGCATGCAGGTGTACTTCACCAACATAAAATTACCACCTAAAATTTGAATTTACAAAACTGATAAATTAAGGAATGTTTTTTACATTGCAAAAGCATATTTACAAAATATTTCAGTGCTTTTGATTAGAATTACCACAAAACTGATAAAACAAAGGTATAAATAAAATGAGATCTAGAAACAGTTATATACAAGTGACAAAAATACTGAATTTCTAAGTATGCAAGTATATAATTCAAAAGATTTCACAAAAGAAATAGTCAAACCCATGATACCACCCTGTTAATTAGGCTACAAAGTTTACACCCCACTTTTTGGGGTAAGAGATTCCCGGGTGGCAGGAGGACCCAAAACTCTAAAGTTTGTCCAGTTTGTATTGGGTGCTAATAGGCAATTTTTTTTCTGGAATCACACTTTTACTAAACACTAATATTACTTCTAAAAAACTTTTCCTGCAATTTAATGTACTTCAGGCAAAATGAATCAACTTGACCCATGAATTCTAATCATAGTTTCCCAAAATGTAATGGATACTATTTGCAGATAGACGGCTACAAAGGCCTGAATTAAGATTATTATAGTAAGATAATGTGACGTCTGTGATCATTTTTCATTACACTACATTCTCTTGATAAGATTTTAGGTCATGGGGGGGGGATAATTTTGATCAAAAACCTATTGAGAGATTAGTAACCACTTTAGACATGACCTGGGGCCATATACATGAAGTCTGAGGTCAGATACCCAGCGATATGGTTTTTAATTACTTTAGCTTGAGTATAAAATTTTAACAGATGGTCCTTACAGAAAACATGCAATATTTTACTATGGGTATATAATCTGAAGTTCTCACTGAAAGTTTCCTTTAAGTATTGAGTTATTCTTATAAGTAAATACAGTTTTATGTAAAAAACTCAATTTTATAAACTTTGATGACTATACCCACCTTGTAATATGATGTCAAACTGCAATTATCAATCAACATGTACTTAATTATTAGCAACCACATGCAAAATTAGAATCAGGCTCTGTGGCAATATACCACAAAACGGTCTACCATGGAGAAGGTTATATAATCTAGTTGGGAAGACATTACATATAGATCAGGGCTTCTCAACCCTTGGCATTACTGACATCTTGGGCTCGTAATTATTTGTTTTGGTGGATGGGGACTATCCCATACGTTGTAGGACGTTTAGCAGCATCTCTGGCCCCATCCAATTGATGCCAGGACCAAAGACCCTTCTCTCCCAATACTACTTGTGAGAATCAGACATTGCCAAATGTCCCCTGAAGAAGGTAAAATCATCCCTAGTTGAGAACCACTGGTATGAATAATGATGCTCATCTTCCATCACTATCACTACTACAGCTCCCAATCATGGAGAGCTACTATAAGCCAGCATATGCCAAGACATGGGCTATTACTAACTCCATTTTACAGATGAGGAAACTAAAACTTAAACAGAGATTAAGGAACTTGCCCAAGTTCATATAGCTGCTAAGTATGGTGTCAAGAATCTAAACCTATATAGTTCAATTATGTAACCCACGCTAAAGGACTTATAATAGTTAATAAGTGCCACAGAATTTCGAGAGACTGCCATTAGCTGGTTAAGTGATTAAGGAGACTACACAGAAGCAGCTGATGTAAACTGAGTCTCAAATGATCTATGCAATTTTTTAAACTCTTCACCATTTGGGCCTGTCTCACTCAGATTTGTCCAAGTTTCTCTTAACATGTATTGCTCAGAACTAAATCAATATTCCAAATCTAACGGCCAGGCTAATACTTGGGAAAGTGAGACTGTAATCTCCCTTGATTTGAGACCCATCTTATTAATAACAACACTGCACCATCTTCCTGAAGTAGTGTTAAGATACCTTTCTTCTTGCTCTGAACGTGTATTTAGAAAGTCTTTAAGTTGTCTTTAGAACATGTATACAGGCTATCTACCCTCTTTGGGAGTGACCCTTCCCTATCTACTAACCTGGTTAATACTGGTCTAAAACTATTCTAATGTATGCTCCTCTACAAAGCCTCCCACTAGCCCTATGCACAGGTGGTTGCTCCATCTTGGCCCTCTATACCATTTTATGAAGCCCCTATCCACTGCCTGTCTTCCCATTAAATTTCCAGCCCCTCAAGGATGGGGATTATGTCACATTCATCTGTGTACCTACTGTGCCTAGCAAGAGGATATGTCCCTCAGTAACTTGGAGATGTAGGGCTTGAGAAAGAGGTCAAGGCTAGAGATGTGGACTTGGAGGTCAACAGCAAAAATGGCAGAGGAAAAATATAAAAGAAAACAGGGTCATCAAATAAGGAAATATTATGAGAGGAAAGGAAAGGGGGATTGGCCTTTAGAAATGTCCATAAAGGGGTGTCTGGCTGGCTCAGTCGGTAGAGCATACGACTCTTAATCTCAGGGTCGTGAGTTCAATCCCCATGTTGGGCGTGGAGCCTAGTTAAATTGGTCCATAAAAAAGGCAAAAGAACAATGTGTAGAAAAAGAGCTTTAGTGAAGTAGTTTAATGATAATCCTACTCTACAAGGATACTGAAAATAAGTCCTCATATTCTTCATGGTCAAATGCTCAACATTAAAATTGTCTTAATAAATGAAACCACGTAAGTATTACTAAAAGTAATCTTCTACTAGAGGATAAAAATAAAAACATAGATAACATACTTACATTTTTTTCTGATAATTCAAGAGGATGACTGGGCAAAAGTTCATTTTTCACACAAGGAAGGCTAAAGAAAAATATTTAAGAGAGAGATTATAAATCACTCAATACCTAAAGCTCAAAATTGTATCAATAGGTGTAACTACAATGGAACGGCACAAGTGAGGTTTTAGGACGACACTTCTGTAGCCTGATCGTGGCAGTGGTTGTAGAAACTGACATATGTATTAAAATTCATATTACTATGAATTATAACATAATGAATTATATAACATTAAAAAAAAGGTCAAATTTACTATATATGCTAATGGTTTTAAAATGTATCGATTATAGGGACACCTGGGTGGCTCAGTTGGTTAAGCATCTGCCTTTGGCTCAGGTCATGATCCCAGGGTCCTAAGATGGAGTCCTGCATCGGGCTCCTTGCTCAGCGGGGAGCCTGATTCTCCCTCTGCCTGCCGTTCCCCCTGCTTGTGCGCTCTCTCTCTTACAAATAAATAAATAAAATCTTTTTTTAAAAAATGTACTGATTATAGATACTAGTGGTTAATTCACTAGGGTGAGCCCTTCAAAAAACAGTGTTAAATGAAGCTCTGTACCTAGAAGAAATTTAATAAAATGTTTAAAACTACTATTATTTGGGGCGCCTGGGTGGCTCAGTCGTTAAGCGTCTGCCTTCAGCTCAGGTCATGATCCCAGGGTCCTGGGATCGAGCCCTGCATCGGGCTCCCTGCTCCGTGGGAAGCCTGCTTCTCCCTCTCCCACTCCCCCTGCTTGTGTTCCCTCTGTCACTGTGTCTCTCTCTGTCAAATAAATAAATAAAATCTTAAAAAAAAAAAAATGAAACTACTATTATTTGATAACATGCTTCCTGTATTATATTAAAAATCTAGGGGCACCTGGATGGCTCAGTCAGTTGAGTGTCCAACTCTTGGTTTCAGCTCAGGTCATGATCTCAGGGTGCTGGGATTGAGCCCCACATCAGGCTCCACACTCAGTGAAGAGTCTATTTCAGGATTCGCTCTCTCCCTCTTCCTCTGTCCCTCCCCGCACTCGCATGCCCCACCCCCTCAAATAAATAAATAAATCTTAAAAAAAAATCTACACCTCTTCTGTTTAGGTCTATACATATTCAATATTTAATGTATCTTTAATAAATACATGCTGAAAAATGTGTTTGACATTTATTGAATACCTACTATATAAGGTCATATATTGCTAGAACCAGACCACTGGTCTTTAACACTCTAGATATATTAAAGATGACTATCCTTATTGCCAAAATGGCATTTGAGAGCTGAAAGGAACCTGCAACAATTGTTTATTGAATATTGTCTTTGTACAGAACATTATCTTAGAAGCAGAATTTGAAAATGGTTCTGTTCATGGCTATCTTAAAGTCTAACCATGAAGAAAAAGGAGCATTTTATGTGGAAAAAAATAAATAAATAAGAAATCATCAGAACCTGGTTACTGACTAGTTTCATGAATTTGATTATACTATACCATAAATCAAATTATATCTCCAAATCCAAAGACTATAAACTGCACCTTTCACTAGAAAATGGAAAGACAATAATGAAGCATTATGTCTGTCCCCAGACATCAGTATTAGAATGACATTTTATTATAGTAACACCAAACTACCTTAAAGTTACATATAAAATTCAAAAATTCAAAACAGATGTTTACAGAGGTAGGCACACTACCCTTATTTGATTAAGCAGAAAAGCAACCTGCCAAAAAGTACCAGAAATTGAGACCTAAACATATAGAAACATGGAAGAAATCAAGGGAAGGGGTACAACTGTGTGCTGAAGCTAGAAAAATAAAGTAACAGCAGCTAACACTTACTGAGAGCTTATTAATGTCAGGTACTATTCTAAGTATTTTTCATGTATTAACTCATTTATTTCTCAAAATAAGATTTATACTATTTACAGCCCTATTTCACAGATATAGACATGAGACATAGAGCAATTAAGTTACCTTCCTGAAGTCATACATCTAGTAAACAGCAGAGCCAGAATCAAAACCCAGGCAGCCTACTCCTGAGTAGGCTCTTAACTGCTGTGCTCTAGTGTCTCCCAGAGAATTATTCCAGTAGTTAATAAGATAAGGAGACAAATGGCTTTCCATGTTAGCAGTATCAAAAAGAAGCATCCTACCAAATCATGCTACTGGGTAACAGCTCCTTGAAGGATGCCCTGTCCTGGGAACCCACTACTGTTAAGACACTTCTTCCATTATAGAAAACATCCACTCCCATCCTCCCCCAGGCTAAGGTATATTACTTGCTATGTCCCAAATTAAATATATATTTATGGTCTATCAAAATATTTAAAGAATACTGTGAAAAAAATCACAGAAACATCTTATTATAACAAAGTCAAAGTCACAATTCCCCCGTATACCCTTTTCGAAGAAGATCATGACTTTCAAAAGGTCCACTTGCTGAAAGTTCAGTAACTGGAATACTGTCCTTTAACTGAGATCCAAGTCCTCTGGCATTCTACAACACAAATAATAACACTATTAAATACAAAAATGTTTTAAAACTCACATTGAACATCTACGTAAAAAACAGTTTAAGCACTAGACAAAAAAAAGTAAAGTCTCTGCCCTCAAAGAGCTCACAGTCTAGATGATGAGCCTTGGCATTATGGTAGAGTGATTATACATGGTACACTAAATAATATCAAATTTGGGCGTAGGAAGGATTCCTGAGTTGATCTCTGAATATTGTCATATTGAAAGGCATTCCAGGAAAAAAGAACATGGGTAAAGAAGGTATAAAAGTATAAATGAACAAGCTATAAGTAGTTTGACCTGACCAGCTAACTACACGTCTAGTGAGGCAAAAATAAAGCAAGGCTGGCAAAATGAAAAAAACAAAAAGGCTTAAACATGCAAAGAAATTCAGGTTTTATTCTGAGATTGATAGAGAGCCTCTGAGGGTTATGGCCTTGATCAGATTTACTTTCATTGGAAAGATCCCTCACTTAGGATGGAATGATTAGCACAGAATGAAAAAAGCTGAAGACAGAATCCCAGGGAATACTATTCCTTAATGAAGAACAAGGAAGTGGGATTAAGAACAAACAGAATAGCTAGAAGAATGTGGTCACAGAAGCTAAGGGAAAAAAGAGACATTCAGAAAGTATTTGGTTTCTATAACAGGGTTCTCCCTATGAAAAATAAATCTAATCAGCACAGTATAAACAAAACCAAACAAAAACAAAGACTCACAGTATATCTGGTACTGGTGTATTATACCCTACACATCTATACCATAAAACATTTAATCATCAAATATTTATTAAACATCTACTATGTGGCAGGTACTCTGGTAGATGCTGAAGATACATGTCTACCTTCCAGGGTTTAGTCTAATGAAGATAGATTAAGCAAATAAAATGCAATAAACATTACAACAGGTAAAACACAAAAGCTGACTTTTAATCACTTGTTCCTCAAGTACAATATTGCTTTAATTCTGCAGAAAAATGTAAAACAGCTACAGGTATTTTGGTATCCACCTTACACTATTCTAGGAGAAACTATTCTGAGAAACCAGCATTTTAAATTGATTTCTTAATTTATCTGTGTATTTTATTTGGTCAGGTACTTTATCCTGTTCAGAGTTTCTTCAATCCACCACTCTACTTCAGGGTCTCACACCTGGATAACTTTAACAGCACTTGACTGGGTCTTGCCGTCCCTAGACTTTTCCATTTTCCAATTCTGCATATCAAGGTTTTCCTAAAACATATAATTTCCCCCACCAAGCTGTTATAAAACCTTTCACTGATTCGCCAATGTCTTCTCTGAAAAATAAAGTCCAACTCAAGAACCTACAAAAGAGTTTCCCCTACACAGAAGTCAAAGTTGATCAGGAAAAGAATCTGGAATCTAGTGTGGACTGTCTCTAACCTACTATGTGACTATAATCAAAGCATACAATCTCTCTGCCCCCATTTACTCATCCTTCCAGGTGCCTGAACTCTTTCCAGATCTAGAATTATATGATTGTACATTTCCAAATGCATCTCCTGGTACTTTCCCACATAAACATTCTCCTCCTCCCAGACTGCTTTATTATAAAATAACAGAAGAAAAGTTTCTTCTATGCACAAAGAAAAGGAGAATTCGGATTTCTGGGTTTTACTGTTATGATTTCCCCCAATTTCCTTGGTTAAAATATCAGGATTGGTACCTGATGTTTCTATTAAAGCAGCAGAGGAAAATAAGTCTATGAAAAGTTAAGTACCACTAGACCTCAAAGTGTTTATAAAACTTCTTCACAATAATCAGCAATATTACCAACAGAAACTTTCTAGATTTAGATGGCCTAGTATCAGAGTCAGTGGCCATGGCCATTCAGAAGTCTTTCCCAAGCATCACAACTTTTAAGTTAAAGAGAGAGAAAGGGGGTGCACTAACAATCCTGACAAACGAGGAATTACAACTGTCTGATTTTCCCCCAACTTCTGGAATACTCCAAGTTCCCCAAAATGTCTGTAAAGGTGAGAGATAAAAAGGAGACTTTATAGCTGGGTTTGTTAGCAAAGCAGTTCCGAGGTCAGGGGTGAGTGAGGAATTCGAGGGCTCTGGGCCCCCAGGGTTCGACCCTCATGGGAAGGGTAGTTGGCTGAACCGCACCACACACCACGGAACAACGCTACACTTTCGGATTTGTCCTTGCCAGCTCGGCGCCAACTACGGGGAAGGGGCCGGGGCGTGCTCGGGGACTTGGGGTTGAGTGGGCGCAAATCGAGAGAAACAAGTGAAGGGAATAAAGCCGAAGCGCTGCTCGCGGGACCCGCGCTGGAGCCCATCCCGGACGACAGCCACGAAACCCCCAACCCCGTGACTCGACAGATCATGGCGCCCGAGGCCGGCCTCATCCTCCCGCCGCCGCCGCCACCCCGGGACGAGCTAGGGGGAGGCGGACCATTCCTGCCGGGCCAGGGTCCCGAGCCCGCCGGGAACTCGGGTCGCTCAGGGTCTCACTCACCATCTTCACTTGCTCTGTGAACAGCCTCTCAGCCCCGTTACCGTCAGCCGGCCCCGCCGCTCACTTCCGTTTCCGGGGTTGCCCCCCCACATCCGCCGGAAGTGCGTCCGTCCGGGCGAGGAAGGAAGGAGGGCGCGGGGCGCCGGGAGGGAGCCGCGCGGGGCCGGGGCTCCCACGCTTGAAGTCCCGAGGGACCCGGGGCCAAGGGCGCAGTAAGGGTGTGGGCTGCGAGGAGGGCGGGTTCGGGACGAGACGTGCCGGAGAGGAGGGAAGACGCGGACCTCCGCTTGATTAATAATAAACATCTACCGTTGGTACAGTATTTGAAGATGTGCAGTGTGCTTTGGTAGATGCATCCCCTTATTTAATACAAAAGCTCGCTGAAGTAGATACTACATTTTTCGTGAGGGTAAACTAAGCATAGGTGGGATGAATAATTTGCAGTCTTTCAGCTAGTAAGGCAAAAGTAGAACACGAGGCTTTGCCAGTTTATTTTTACAAATCATATGTCGAAGGCCTGCTATGTTCAGAATCCTGTGCCGAGGCTAAGAATACAGAAATGAATCAGGCTGATGCGGTTCCTGGGCTAGAGGAGCAGCGGAACCGTCGGGGGTGCGGGGAAGGGTGATATCGAATGAAGTACGGTTGATAATTACATAGATTGGCCTTCTATTTATAGCAACACAATTGTAAGTGCTTTACATGAACTATCTCCGTTAATCCCTTCAATCATCTTATGTAGTAGGTACTACTGTTGTCTCAATTTTACGGTCAAGGAAAGCAAGACAAAAGTTAAATATGCCGAAGAACCCATAATCCATTGTCATAACGTTATACTGTGTTGTCTTCCAAATATAATGTGATAAAATGGACTCATACTCTTGTCACTGTATAATGGAGGTAACTTAAGGAATCCTTGGGCTGATAGTGAAGGGATAGAATGAACTCGTTTGAGGTAGGAGAATATATGAAAGAACATTACTGGCATTTGCTTAGGTAAAAAAATGGGAAAGGAGGTCTGTGTGGCTGAAGTTCAGAAAGTACGGAAGAGAGTAGTGGGAGATGAGGCTAAGTAGATGGAGGCAAGTTTATTATGGAGGCCTCTGTGCCAATTAAGAATGAGGCTTTAACTTTAAACAGCCATTGAAGGATTTCTGAGGAGGGAGGCGATAAGGTCAGACATGTTCTGTATATCTACAGCCCTGGTCCTACAACCTTGAAGTTCCAGGATAGTCCAGATTTTGAATATTCTGCACTGCTGTCCTTATCTTCTGTCTCTCCATATCTACCTTGAGATTTGAGTTTGAATGTTTCATTTGCATCTTATTCCTTTCACTCAGTCCACCTGAGGAGAAATTTTAAAACTGCAACTCTTAAAAAGAAATCATTTTAATGTTGTTGATTCCTCACAATTTAGTTATTAAGTTTTTGTTGAGCATAGGATTCTGGAGCTAAAGAGAAGAAAAAGCCATTTCCCTATACTTGAGATGCTTTTATTTTCTTGGGGGAATAGACATGGTAAATAAATGTGGTAAATGCTTAATAGAGAAAGGAGTTGGATCAGGAAGTGGTTGGGAACAGGGAAAATAGGCTTTTGAGGAAGAGGAAATGTGGAAAGGCAGAGATTTGCAAAAAGGCATGTTGTAATATGAACAATGAGGATTTCCACGTGTTTGGAGTTCTGGGGGAGTAGATGGAACAAGATGAAATGAGATTGGAAGGATTGGTTGGGGGTAAAATAAAGGGCCCGTATGGTGTGCTGAGGCTTGGGGCTTTTTTTTTTTCCCCCCTTTTTTCCTTTTCTTTTTTTTTTCTTTTTTTGGAGAAAATAGGCAATAATGGAGGTCTTTTCACAAACATTTGACGTTAAAAAAAATTATTCTGGTGGCAGCATGAAGAATATACTGGAATTGGGAGAAACTAGGAACCAAGATACCATTTAGAGTGTTGCAGTAGTCCACAGAAGAGATAAGGGTAGAAAGGTATCACAGCACATTGCAGAGACTTTGAGAAGCAGTGAAAAGTAGTGATGGACCTTAAGAAATACTAGAATTCATGAGGCAACCATTGGAAAGAGAGCCTGCTGGGGAGACAAAAAAGAGATGGTCAGAGAATCAGAAGAAAAATCAATCAAAGTGCTATCATAGAATCCAAAGGGGAAGAAAGTGTTGAGCGGTTGAAAAGTAGTTCAAAAGAAAGGTTAGAAAGTAGTTTTAAGATAGCTTTTAAAAGACCATGAAGTCTCAAAAATAGATCTTTGGTGACTGATTGTGAAGGTAATTTCAGTAGAAGAGCAAGGAGAAAAATTGCCTTATTTTGAGCCATATACACACACCCATATTTATATCCTTCTAAAAAGGTTTGTTACAGCATTAACTAATACAAGTCAGTGTTGAGTGTGCTAAAGTAGTTTAAAGAATTAAGTTAGATTGGATATTAGAATGGTTTAATATGTTCGCTTAGGCTTTATGTAATATGGTTTGGAGGATAGACATCTGCTATATGTCGGGCCCTGTTCTTAGTTCTTTTTGTTTCAGTTAATCTTCAATTACTCTATGAGGTAGGTACTACTATTATCCACATTTTACATAAGAAACAGGCTCATGTGCGTTGTAGCACAAGTACTCTATTTTACTTTACTTTTTGTTGTCTTCCTTGACTTTACTCTTAAGCTTTTCTGGCAAAAATATTTGTTGAATGCATGTTGTTGAACATAGCAGCAGAAACCCATCTAGAATGCAGGCTGCTGTTGAAACATGGGTGAGAGCAGGTGAATGAAGATAGCCAGGCAACAGCTCGGGTTGGTGTAAAAGCATGCTGAGTTGAAAAATGCCCATGGGAAAAAAAAAAAAAAAATGCCCATGGATTGGTTGAGTCCTCATCCCTTCAAAAGTAAAGAAAGGATGGTGTAAAGCAAATGTATGCATTTCATTTTTTTTAAAGATTTTATTTATTTATTGAGAGAGAGAGCCTGAGCAGGGGAAGAGAGAGAGGGAGAAGCAGACTCCCCACTGAGCAGGGAGCCCAATGTGGGGGCTTGATCCCAGGACCCTGGGATCATGACCTGAGCCAAGACAGAAGGCAGATGCTTAACTGATCCAGCCACCCAGGCGCCCCACAAATGCATGCATTTCAAAGAAAAGGTAGTTGAGTGACAAATGATCAAGCAGTAAAGTGGGGAGCAAGAAGTTGGGTTGACATTTTTCTTACTCTGTGAGTTAGGGAAAGTGGGAGAAGGAGTAGACATCACTGGACAGGCTTTTGAGGAAAGTGGCATCGTTTATGAGAAAGATAGGTTTCAGTTAGGGCTAAGATGTGGGAAGAGAACTTGTGACAAATTTAAAAATACTGGGAAATCTAGTTGCAATAAACTAGGGAGGTCTAGTTGAATGTTCCAAGGGGCTTAGTAGCAGGCTTTGTGGAAGGAAGACCAGTGAGTAGCAGGTTCAGGGGCTGAGCATTTAATGGTACCAGAGGAGTACAGGGGGTAGAGAAGTCAAGGCTCTCTCCTTTATGCAGTTGATGTGACCGATACACTAGCATAACCTTTAGCACTTAGTTGTGTTGATCTATTTCCACATCTATTTCTTTTCAACAAGCTTCTGCAGTCAGGGGCTATGCCTTACACATTACTGTATCTGTATCTGGCACACAGAAAGCACCAGTAAATGTTTGTTGAATGAAAAGTGTGGGAAAGAACAGATGAATGGATAGTTGTGGCTAATAGACAACACTAGGCTAATATGGTTGGGAAATAGGTGGAGGTGGACATGGGTGATCCAAGAAAACTTATTTGAAGAAGTTTCCAGAAGCACTTCCCTGGGCCTGGTGCCCAACCTTAAAGCTCAGCACTATAAGCTAAGGCCCTAAATCCTTATCTGGTTCCAATTATCTCCTTTGTCTCCTTATCTCCAGGGCTAGACTCAACAAAAACTGGCACCTCACCAAAAAGTCTACAATTCTGACATCACTCACTTTAAGAGCCACAGATGTGTGTGTGCGCGCATGCGTGCGCGCACAACGTGCCCAGCCTTCCCCTCCCCTCCCCAGCTACAAAGTCTGGCCAATCCTGCTTGGTCTTTTTTCCTCCCTGTCTCTGACAGTTCTTAGCCAGATGGATTCTTTTGAGCTCTGAAAGCAGAATGGGGGGATTTGGAGAGGGTCTGGCGACAAGGGTTGGTGGCAATGGTTTTCCCTCAGAGTTTAGCATAGGAGAAGCATGAGAGCTCCATTTTTTTAGAAAGATGGGAGGGAGAAATAATTAGTGTAAAAACTCTGTAAATCATATTCTCCCTAAGGTACCTATTAACTAAAACATTGTATGGCTGTGTAAGTTTCAGATATTGTGTTCCCCTATGAGGTTGGGGAGGGAGTTTTTGTGAAGGGGTGGTACAAATCTCAACTAATAAGAAAGTTACTATGGCTCAGAGGACCTGAATAGAATCTATAAATTATAAATAGTACACCCAACTCTTCTTTAAATGATCTAAATTCTTGTAGGGTTGGGGAAGGTTCAAAGTGCTTAATTTCAGATAAATGGTATTTACACAACTCTCTTTGCAAGTCCCTTCATAAGTGTTAAGGGATGGAGAAATACTTTACACCCAGTTTATTTGACAGACCCTTTTCCTTAACCCTAAGAGATGAGTGTTTCATATTTCTTCTGAAATACTTGCTGACTATGATTTCAGATGGAGCTGCTTTTAAAAGAGTGTCCTCTGAATATGAAAAGCTGGGTATTGAAAATAAGTGATAAAGTGGACTCTTGAATCCAGGTGTTTTATTTTACTATTTTACATCTGCATTGCATCAGACACAGCAGAGGTTAGCATTCCATGTTCCCTGCTTTTGTAGCCTTATTTCAGGTCTATGCTTTTGAAAAAGTGGTTTATACTTTCATCATAAAGAGTCTTTATTCTAATCTGTGGAGTTGTAGATTATTTGCAACAAAGTTTAAGTGCTAGCCCCGTTTCTATTACCCTTCATTTACCAGCCCACGTGTAGAAGCATAGAGTCACGTTAATACTAGCTAAAGAAAAATTTAATTCAGAAGGCAGATCTGCCAAAAACGTATAGTTGCATATAGAACCAAATAAAATATGCATGTAC